CCTCGAACCGAGAGTAAAATATTAATCTGATGCAATCAAACATCCCAAGAACGGCCATAGACGAGGAAATTCGAACGTGCGAATCACGCGCGCACGGAGATGCCGCGCGATTAATTCGCCCGTCGAGAGAAAGGACTATCGAGAGTAACGGTGCGGGAAAGGGGGGCGAGGAGGGACGGAGGTTCGGAGGAGGAGAGGGCCGTTTCTACATCTCTCTCTCTCTGCGCTCTCTGCTGTTGGAATTGAAAGCAGCTCTCGGGAACGGTTCGATGCGATCACATATACGCGGTTGCGGCTTCGCACGAGATTTCCTTTAGCTCTCTCTCTCTCTTTCTATCTTCTTCCCTCCCTCTTCTCGGACGAAGGTCTCAGCTTAGCTCGGCTCAGCTGTGCGCGCGAGAGAGCCATGCGGGAGGTGCGTGGACAGAGCGAGGTCAGCACACGCACGTGCATGTCGTGCGTGGCGCTTATATTACATATATGTATATACATACATATGCACTCTCGGCCCGTTTCGATCATTGGCGTACGCTTTACTTTCCACTAAAAAGGGAGTCAACTCCGAAAAGTATTTATCAAATAAATAAATATTTCTCGATTATTTTGATTACCGTTGGAAGAAAACTAGAAATCTCACAAATCTCGAGATTCAGTTGAGAATCGATATAATTAGGTTTCAGCAAAGAGAATTCGGTGGAAATTATTTTTTTCGATATACTTCGATTACTTCGATATTAACTGTTCTCGCTCTTTAGAGTGATATTTTAGGCTAAAAGTGGTAAGAAAGATCGATGAGTGGCCGGTTTCCTTGCGTGGTGGTTTCCTCGAGACGAGATACCGACACGATCGATACCGCGGTTAATGACCCAGAAAATGCCGGATTATTTTACAATGCAAACGCTGTTATACGAACGCGAAACGATGCGAATCGATAGATAATGTCTTCATTGTCGTGGCGGTACGATCAAGCGACGGCCAAATTTCACAATGTCTTGACCATTTTTTTTTTTTATCTAACATTTATCATCCATGTCTTTTTTTATCGCTATATTTTCTTTTCTGTTTCCAATACCGTTTCTCCGTTACACCATTACCTCATAAAGTTACGAGTGAAATTTTATTCTTGTTTGGGTTATCGTCCGCGTCTTTTATCGTTCGTTCGCATGGTGCCAGTGGCGGGCGGTCTTTTTTCACGACAACCGTATAACAGCGGAAAAAGAATCGGGGGAGATAGAAGATAAGAAGTGTCGCATATTGTAGTTGCGGGGAAAGTACATTGCGCTCGATCCCACTTTGGAGGTCCCCCGTTTCTCCGAATCGCGATTACAATTTGATAAGATCCGAATTGCGTTCCTAGACGACCTCGCAGACAAATATTTGAGCGCGAATGGTTGCGATGATTATCTTGAGTGACCTCGATTCGCAAATCATGTGCGCATTTAAGATCACGATCGAATCGCATGCTTAAGACGAGCAAAGCGAAGAAATGAATACGTAAATGAACCTAAATTCGAGTAAACTCTCTTCGTCGAGTGCATGTTCTCGTTTGGAGAGACGTATGCTTTCGGTTTTTAAATATAAGATTATTTTCAATATCTGGGTATTTCTGGGAAATAATAATTTCAAAAATTAATCAGAATTTCCGGAAAACGATCGAGGACAATAAAAAATGACGATAGTTCACTTTTGCAAAAGCAATTTATTTGAGGTTGTCAGCTGCAGACTCGAATAAATCGTAGACCAAACGTCGACGATCGTGCCTGCGTGAAACGAAGATCGCCTAAAATTAGAAACCATTTTTTTGTCCCCGTTGCGTAGGCGCCTCTAAGCTAAAACGATGTCGAGAGTTAACGACAAACCGATCGGAGCCTATCTTCCTTCATCCATGTCCCGTCGCAGTCATTGCATTCATTGATCGATAATGACTGCAGCACCTGTTCCTCTTGGTCAGCTTGTTAGAGTAGACTTCATTTCGACATATCACCTGCTCCCTGGATATAATTCATGATAAAGCGACCTGTCGAACGACTGATTTCCGGAACAATCGAGTTACAACTATCGGTCCGAGGCCAACTAGTAAATGTAAAAGCAGACCACGACAATTTTTCACTATTTCAAGTTTCCAGTAGTTGAAGAAAATTTAATCGAGTTTAGTTTTTACATCGATTTTGAATGTTATCGCCTTTTACAAATGCACAAAGTAAAATGCTATTTGTATTCACCTATGTTGTATTCGAACATGTATGAAAGCCTGTCTGAATAGCAGGTATACACTGTCGAAGATTTATCTTAGTTCGGTCGGGTCTAGTCACTTTATCGACCCGACAAAGCACAGGAAATAAAATCTTCGATATGACACATCCATCACAGGTTACTCCCATTACCTGCGTTTATCCCTAATTTAGACTCAAGCCTGAGACACAATGAAAAGATACAGGCAACAGGAACAGGGAATAGCAACAGGCAACAGATTTCGACTAATCAGAAGCTGTGAAAGAATATCGGAGATATTTCTGATTGGTCAAAATCTGTTGCCTGTTGCTACTCCTATTGCCTGTGCCTTTTGCACTCTGCAATAGGCTTCACTTTTACGACGTGTAAGATGGCCTAAGTGTAAGATTTGGCATATAGAAAAATATAAAGCAACGATCTACTTAGGCAGCAGGCACCAAAATTGTTGAAGATGTAATATTAAAATTGGTGCTATTGTTACGATTTGCTTACGCCTTATGTTTTTCTTCGTATCATTAATCTTAAACGGAAACATCAGCGATAACGTCCACGGTCGACGTTGAGGCTGCTCATTGAAGTCATTTTTCGCCGGCGATAACCGAACACGTTTTCGCCTGATACTCGCTAACTCGGATGACGTTGACACCGGTAATAGACACCGCGCGTATCAGAGACGCAGTCTCGCTCGGGTGCGTGACGCAACAGCATGCGTCGCGCAAAAAACGGCGTTACGCACATGCATGCTCACGCGGTAGGAGGATGCGCCGTTGCATTCGCGTCGATTTACTTTCGATTTTGCCGTGCCGATCCTCGCGACTGACTCGATTTTAACCAGCGCGGAAAGCATTTCCGCTTTCGAGGCTGTTCCCTGAAACGTCTCGACACCTTAGTAACAAGTATAAATTTCTCGTAATTCTTCAG